ACAGCCTTTCAACATCTGTGGCGAGTTCCTGGAGTGATTCGGTGGGCTTCTGTTGACGGGATTTTAATTGAAGCCTGCTGTAGTCTTTTAAACACTTCTCCCCAAAGCGCAGCTCCAAGGCGCCGGACAGAGCTTCGAAATCTAACCTTTGATTTTCGGGAAGCGTCTGCAGGATATCCGCTGCGTCTGCTCTCAGAGAAGCGGCGAGATGACAGGCCTTAGCTTGGGAATCCCATTCATTCGCATCCGCAACGATAAAAAACTGGGTCTTATACACTTGCCAGGATGTCTTCCCATCATATGTGGATAGCTTCAGAGATGGACGAGCAGGCATCGGTAAGAATTTAAAATCATCACTCTTGCTCCCTGCCGTCGCTATGAATTTTTTTAAAGTTTCCATTTCTTTGGCAACTGCAGAAACACTCTCTTCAATTTGTTGTTGGACGGCCGAAACTCTTCCTTCGACTCGTTGCTCCACAGCCGACACACTATCTTCTATTTCATCTTTAACAGAAGAAACCTTTTCTTCAATTTGCCCGACTTTATTTTCGACAGCTCCTATTCTGTCTTCCATAGCCTCAAATTTACTTTCTATTACGCAGGTTATTTCTCTTTTCGTCTTGACCTGCTTCAATCTTTTCTTGTACAGCTTTTAATATCAAGTGATGGTAATTAAAAGTTACTTAACCAAGCTTCCAACTTTTCGTGAACGGCTTCCATTTTCCTTTTTCAACGGATTCCATTTCCATCTTTTTAACGGATTGCTTCCATCTTTTCCTGACCAGATTCATATCATCTTTCATTTCTTCTTGTCCCGCTTTCATTTCCTGTGGCCCGTTTTCATTTCCTCTTTAAATGCAGCCAAAGGCTGATATCAACTGTCTTAACTGCTCTTCCATCGCTCTTGTGATTGGCATTCAAACCCCACTTCTGACACCAAAAATTGTTGCGTGCGTACGGGTTCGTTATGAAATGAATGCACAAGTCCGATGAAAAATGAATAAAAATTTATTATTATCACAACAAAAATGCTTACATTTTCTCAAATTATCATGCAGTATTACAATATCTCACAGTAGTTATCTTTTAACTACTCAAACGTTCAATAGAACTTAATTCCTAAACAGCTAAAGAAAGCTAATCCGCGAATTCGCTACAATCGACAAGAGCAGTTTTCTAAACAACAACAAACTAAGCAACTACTACAAACTGAGATGTTTTCCTCCTTTTATAAGATTTTAAAATCACGCGCTAGAATTTTCCAGTACTTTCTCGAAATCAAAAAGAGATATTTATTATTTAATGCACGCGCTCTTGTGTTTTCAATTTTCCGGCTTAGCTTTCTTTTAATATTCGTCACGCGCTGCACTGCGCGAGAAGTAAAACCATTTGATTTATAATTGAACTAAAATTAGCTTTTTAAATACCAAATTCGTAACAGTAACAAGGCTGCGTCTTCTGTCAGCCCTATATCTGTCAGCCCTATTTTAATAGAACCATAATTTCTTTTGCCTTCATCTCCTAATAACCAAAGCTACAACCCTATCTCATCAACAACTTTCTTCCCCCACTCCCTGTATTTCCCCCCTTTTTAATAGAATTATATCGCTTTTTCCCACTTTTATTTCTCCCTTAACTCCCCATCTAATTCACTTAATCCCATAATTCTTTCACCTCCCTTCTCTACTTAAGACTAGCTTTCTAGCAATATAAATTTTTAATACATCCTCATCGCTTTTAATTTTCCCATTTTTATTAGACTATAATCGGCCTTTTATTTCTCCCATAACTCCCCAATTAACTCCCCTAGCTCCGTAATTCTTTCACCTCCCTTCTCTGCTTAGACCAGCTTTCTAACAATATAACTCTTTAATTCACCCGTTCCATTTTTATTTTATTCCATTTTTAATACCCTTAATTGATTTTTTATTTCTCCCATAACTCCCCACTTTATTCACCTAGTCCCATAATTCTCTCACCTACCCTCTCAGCGTAAGACCAGCTCTTTAAAAATATATCTCCTTAGCACATCCATTTCAATTCCAATTTTCTCCCTTTGTAATAGCCTTTAATCCACTTTTTATTTCTTATATTCCTCCGATACTTAAAGTCCCTTTCACTCAGCACCACTTCTAACCACCTTCTCTACCCCTCGGCTTTCTCCTACCACCACCTTCCCGCTCTTCAAGCTTTCTCCCTAATTATTCCTTACATTCTCCCCCTTTTTTCTCATTCCTAACTGAACTTTTTGTTCTCTCTTACTTTTACGATTTTCGAAACCTCTGGTACGCCACTACAACCCTGTGAAGCCATTATCACTGAAGTGTCGCATTTATAAGCTCACTAATTCTGTCTATTCATGACTGAAAAGCACTTCATCTAATGTCTCTGTTGTTTAGTGTCTGTATTGTGCGTAACAAACTTATATAGTATTTGCATTGTACATTGTTTTGCTATTCAGCTACTGGTATCAGCTCTGTCATTCTGTATCATATTGCCAATTACTTACTATGCCACTTAACATAACAGAGCACGTAATGACAAGTACTTATCCTTAAGGCCTCAGCTTACTATATTAGTGCACAGTTTCTCTTAGTTCTTTAGTGCCCACAACGTCACAGTGCATTCAGGTATTACAAAGTCTCTTCAAGTCCAGTGTCACCAAGTGTGTTTTCAAGTTCAGTGTGTGTTTTCAAGTTCAGTGTCACTAATATTTGCTCAACACCTCTTTCCACTGAGTTAAAATACTCAACTTCAAGTGCAGCTTCTTTAGCGCATTTCTAGTGCTGCTTCAGTGCCCACATTCTACGCCATAAGCGCACAATTATCCCGTGCAAAGGATTTCAAGTTTATGTTCCTTCAGCCGCCTACACATTCACAAGCTGCAGAACAAACGCAAAAGTCACAGTTCCCGCAGGATGTCTGATCCAGACACCTATGTCAGCAGCATAGTTCCAGAAAAACATTACTCACCTCTACGGAGCACACCTACGAAGAAAACGATCCAAGCACTTTATAAAGAGTGCTACTGCATTGCTACATGCAAGAGAGGCGGAAGATACCTCCTCCCCACGGACGTAAGAGACGCCATCACCAAAACACTTAGAGTCCTCAAGACACTAGCCCTAAAGGGCCCAGGCATTAAGGAGACCCACGACTGTGCTTCAAATACAGGACTTTCACTTGCCCCAGACGTTCCAGTACCTTTTTTACCAAGCAACCCTACACAGCTGCATACAACTGCTGTGCGCACATACTCCCAGGTCGCAGCTGCCTCTCCACAGCCGCAATCACTACCTACACTACTCATCTATCCTCAAGAGGAATTAACCAGCAAAGACTTAAGGCAAAAACTGACAGAAGAATTTCCACTACCAAAGATTGGAGTTAAAGTGCATAGAATCAGGCACATACAAAAAGGAGGTTTAGCCGTAGAGTGTGCTACTACAGAAGATTACGACAGGCTTTCCGAGAAACTTTCAAATTCTAGTGCTAAAAAATTGGTAAAGATCAAAAGCCCTACCACGCGACTCCCGCGCATTGCCATCCATAACCTACCTGCCACTTTGCAACAGCAAGACCTAGAAGCATCCTTAGAATCAGAACTTGGTGTCAGAAAATCTTCAATTAACTTACTACATCGACTAAAAGAAAACCAAAATGTTAAATGGATCGCCGAGTGCCAACCCTCCACCTTCCACAGGATTATGCAATTCGGACGTCTGTACATTGGCTGGAGAGCCCACCGTATCACGGAACACTTCAGCACAAAAACGCTGCTACCGATGTCAGGAGTTTGGACACCTGCAGCACGAATGTCGCAATAAGGAATACTGTGCGTTCTGCTCAGGTGAGCATAACGTCAAAATCTGCACTGCCAAAAGACCAGCCTGTATCAACTGTGCTGATTACAACCACAGGACAAGAAGTAACATCCCATGCGACCACCCAGCATACCATACCACCTGCCCTTCCTACAGCAACTACGTGGACCGCGTCCGCAGAATTTACGACGATACTATTTACGACGTACTATTACGCCGTACTATTTACGACGACCTCCAGCCAGCAAGGCAGCACGCAAGTAGCGCACAGTGCCAATTTGACCACCAACAACAGCACCTCACTGCAGCTAACCAGTCCTCTGTGCTGTCTACAGATTAACCTACAACGAGCTAAAGCCGCAGCAACACAGGCCACAACACACGCAATTCAACAAAACATTGACCTTATCCTCATTCAAGAGCCATACTGCAAAGAAGGGCAAATAGCAGGCTTCCCACTAACTTGGAGGATCATCCAAAAGCAGAATGTCTCTTCGGACTCTCCACCGCGCGCTGCAATTATCATATGTAATCCAGCCTGGTCCCCCATCAACATTCTCACAGAGCGCGACTGTGTCTCCATCCTATTGGAAACAAACAATCTTGCTCTTGCCATTACCTCACTTTACTCCCCGCCCACGGACTCTATACAAGATGCTACAATAGCTTTAGACACAATCAAGCAGAAGTGTCCACACACTCCGCACATCATTGGTGGGGATTTTAATGCCCACCACACGCATTGGGGATACCCGGACACAAGCCCAAAGGGGCGGAGTCTAGAGGACTACATTGCCACGCAAAACCTGCATCTCCACAACTCGTTAGAAGCACCACCTACCTTTGACAACACTTATCACAAGGGCTGGCCTGACTTAACCCTCTCTAGCAGCAACGCAACTAATCTCCTGCAAAACTGGGAAGTGGTAGACACAGAAAGAAAGCCTGTCAGACCACAAATTCATACACTTCCAGCTGACACACAATGCAACCATCCCAATACTCAAAAGATACAGACTCCCAGGCAGTAAAATAAACAGGCTCAAGAATCAACTCAAAACCCTCCTCACAGACGCCATCCCAACAATTCACAGCTGTAATAACGCTGAGGACCTTGACAACTTCACAACTAGCATAACCAAAGAAATCCAAAACTGCTGCGATGCAGTCCTTCCCATGCGCACTGCCAAAAAACTCGATGGGATCACATGGTGGACCAAGAGCCTACGAACACAACGGCAAAAATGCCGTGCCTTACGACGCAAGATCAACAAAGTCATAGGAGATGAAGAAAAGGCACATTATCTAGCCCTCTACAGAATGGAGAGAGCATCTTACAAAAGAAATATCCTTACCGCTAAAACTACCAGCTGGAAACGCTTCTGCACCACAAATGCAAACCCCTTTGGCATCCTGCACAAAATCTGCACCAATAAAGTCTTTCGCCCACATCAACTTCATCTTCAACAAGCCGCAGGCTCACAGGACAATAACCTTACATCCGCCACGGCCACCATCACGATGGACGCGATCTTTCCTCCCGATGATCCAACCACAGACACAGCTGAACAACGCAGCATCAGACAGGACACCACCTGCCCTGACACGGCAAATGACATGGACTTCAGCATGCAAGAAATCTCAGAAATCTTTAGAATCCTCTCAACAAAGAAAGCGCCAGGGCCTGACGGCCTGGACTACAATATTCTCAAAACAGCTTTCGCCGCACAACCTGCCTTCTTCTTGCATCTATTCAATGGCCTATTTAAACTTCAAATCTTTCCAACTGCCTTTAAAACAGGTCATGTTGTCTTTTTTGCCAAAAAGAATAAAGACCCACAAGACCCCCGTTCCTTAAGACCGATATGCCTGCTCCCAGCCATGGGCAAAATTTATGAAAAATTGTTAGTCCAGCACCCACAGCAACAGGAAACAACAACTTCACACTGCCTTCATCTCTCTCGATCTGCGCAGCGCCTTTGATACACTTTGGTGGCCTGCCATTAGACAAGCCCTCAGAACAGCTCGCTGCCCACAAAATCTCTTCAATACTTTCAGCGACTATCTAAGCAATCGAAAGCTGATGGTGCCACACAACCAAGGCATTACAGTCAAGGTCCAGGAGAGAGGCTGCCCACAAGGCTCATGTGCCGGCCCTCTCCTCTGGAACCTTACGTTCAACACAGTCCTCACCTATGCATGGCCGCCCTATGCAAAGATCACTGCCTACGCGGATGACGCGGCTATCATCATCCAAGGACGTACGCGAAATGAGTTAGAAGAAAGAGGTAAAGCCGCATGTGAAATTTTCAACACCTTATGCACCAAACTCAAACTCACGCTCTCCATCGATAAATCCGCAGCATAGCACTAATTATTCCAAAGCCAGGCACCAACCCAACACGGAAAACCTGTGTCAAGCTACAGCAAACCAATATCAAGATCGTTTCTGAGCTCAAATACCTCGGGATTATCTGGGATCGAGGCCTGACGTGGATCCCCCATCTTCAGTACATACGCAGCAAAACAAACGCAATAGCCAGAAAAGCCAAACTTTTCCAAGGAATCAACTGGGGTCAGAATCCTCATATCAACAAAATCCTGTACACAACCGTCATAGAACGCATCTGCTTGTATGCCGCAACAATCTGGGCAAATCCAATGCAGGGCAGAAAGCAAAAACAGCTACTCACTATCCAGCGTCCTTTCGCGCTTATGATATGCAAAGGTTTTCGAACCACTGCGACATCCGCAGCACTAACACTAGCCGGCATCCCTCCCCTTTATCACAGAGCCACGCAGGAAGGAAGCAGCGACCACCAGGATACTACAACTCAGACAAGATGCCACCTTTAATGGACACACCTTCAGCCCCACCTCCTACGAACACCTAAGGCATCACAGCAGACAACATCCAGGTGACAAAGGAAAAGGAGTCATCATCAGCATCCCAAAAGCTCCCTCTTCAAATATCACAAGCGCTCATCCTGTCTACTATACGGACGGCTCTAAGCAGGACGCAGGAGTCGGCAGCGCCTTCCTTCTTACCCACCATAATGAAGTCATCACAAGCTGGAAGGGCCATCTCCAACCACATAATAGCATCTTCCAAGCTGAGGCACTCGCCATCCTGAAGGCCATAGCACACGCTGCACGCTTCAACTACCGCTCACCCATAATCTGCACTGACAGCCAGTCAACACTACATGCCATAAAAAATCACAGACATACATCACCAATCATCAAAGACATTCAAAGTCTACTGCAGCAGCATCGCTCCAACCCAGCAAGACTCATATGGGTGAAGGCCCATGTGGGCCTTGCTGGCAATGAAGCTGCAGATGCCCTAGCCAACGAGGCAGCCACCAACCATGAGGCCATAGAAGTGAACCTACCAGCTCCATCCTCCTACCTCAAGTCACAGCTCACACGAGCAACCATTACAGCCTGGCAACGCGACTGGGACAGCTGCGACACGGGGCGTCGCGCTCACATTTTTCTACCAAAAGTCTCAACTAGCCGACTCTGCTCCATACCGCCGCTTACCAGGTTTATAACAGGGCATGGGCCCTTTCCCACGTACTACCACAGACATGGCATATCCACCACAGACATCTGCATATGCGGACAAGAAGGCAACCCTAACCACTACCTGTTCGCATGCCCTCTTACCTCGGCCATGCACCTTCCAGAGCCTACCACCGATCTCGATGCCTTTCTCCGTTTCACGGTTAAAAACCGTGCAGTGGTGAATAAAATTTGCCAAATGGTTAACTACCTAGCCACACAGGGTCAAGACGTCTGTCACCCGACTTAAAACGTCCATCGCCGTTCTTCACAGAAGTCCTCAACCGCAGTATACTGAGTGCCTGTGCTAACTGAGCTACGCTAACTGTGCTACGCTAATTGTGCTATAATCTGTGCAACAAACGTGCATAACGGACCTAGCGCATCATATGTTAAAATTTTTTTTAAGCATGATATATATGCCATGCATGTTTATATCCCTGTTTATTACATATGTGCACTATGTATAGTAATTTAAGTGTTGGGGTATAGTGTTTTGTATCTTAAGCGCATGCGTTTTGTTCATCTGTGTATTTTGTTTTCAGCATTGCGTTATATGTGTTTATCACAGCATATTTATTTTATGTGTATGTCCAATGTGTATCGCACTATATGCATCTGTCACTGAATAAGTATTTGCCTCAATGGCAGCACTGAATGTACATTACTATTGCTTCTGTATTGCGCTCGTAATATACTCATGTCTCCGAATTATAACTTATGTGTCACGCATATCGTCTCCTGCATATCTGCATTTTGCTTCTTGTACCTTTTGTATATTTTGCGCATATGAGTACTGCACTACAGTATATGTGTATATGTAATTATTATTGTAAATTGCAAGATTGCAATAATTGCCAGACTGCAATTTATCGCCAGATTGAAATGTGCGCCTGTGTACGAAATAACCAAACTTTGGAAATTGCCATTTGATTTGTAATTATGCTATTGCAACAACACTGTGCGCGGAAAATGCTTATATTTGATTTTAATACGTAATGTGTACATTGTAATGTTTAATTATGTGTAATTATGTTTACTTGGGTGTTTTAATTATGTTGATGTAATGTTTAATTATGAGTATAATGAAATTTGCGTAATGTGTTTTAATGCGCAATGTATGTAACATGTTTATATCTCTGTTACTTATGTGCAATGGGTATAGTATTTTATGTGTCGGTGTATAGTGTTTCGTATATTAAGCACACGCGTTTTGCGCATCTGTGTATTGCGATTTGTATCAATTGTGCATGAGTCTTGCTTTACATATGCTTATCACAGCATATTGTATTTTATGTATGTCTAATACGTATCGCATCATATGTATACCCTGTACAAGTACTTGCCTCTATGGCGGCATTGCTCGTACACTACTATTGCTGCTGTACTGCGCGCGTAAATGCTAATGCATTAATTTATTACTTATGCGTCATGCATATCATTTCCTGCGTTTTGTACCTTTTGTATCTTTTGTGCTTATGAGTATTGCATTACATTTGCTTATTATTGCACTTTATATCATTGTATATTGCATTACTTCTATTGCACATCGTATTACCTCTATGGCTTCACTGATTGTACACTATTATTGCTACTGCACTGTGCGCGTAATATGCTAATATCTCCGATTATTACATATGTGTCCTGCGTAAAGTGTTCTGTGTATTTGTGTATTGCGTTATGTAAATTATATGCATATGAATTCTGCACTATATGTGATTATTACTGTATTACTGTATATTATATTACCTCCGCTGCATGTTGCATTGCATCCTGTGTCCTACGTACTGCATCCCATGTATCTGTGTACTGCGTCTAGTATCAATTGTGCATATGAGTACAGCATAATATGTGTTTATTATTGCACTTTGTATTATTGTATATTGTATTACATCCATTGCATATTGTATTACCTCTACAGTCAGTATCAGATATACAGCACTATTTTTAAGAACTGATTGTCAAATTACGCTGACAGCTTTGGTAATTCAAATTAAGAGACCGTGATGTCATTACTACACAAATAATTTATCCAAAAAGCTAACTTTATAATAAAATACTGAATTCTCCGCTTAATTGTTTACTGTTTAGTCAGTATTTTACCTGATATATAATGACATAAAAGCAACAACTGAAACTAAATGTAGTCGGATTAAGTAAAATATATCAGATCCTTGCGAATGAAGTATGCTAAGCTAATTAATAGATTCTTTCTAATAAAGCATTTTCATAGACATTTAATTGTCTTATCATGAAATAGTTCAGCTGTGTTCAGAATATCTTTCTCCCTCTTCTCTTAATCACGTCCCAGAGCATGATGACAATATAATTCCAAAGCAAACTTTGGGGATTTACGTTGGATGTGTGATCTCAGTTGTATAGGCAAAGCTGTTTTCAAACTCACGAAATAGATATTAGGGTTATTACAAAATGAAAGAGAAGCGTTTTATCAAGAGCTGATGAAATAGATGTTGTTTTCATGAAATGTGTAATTTTTTTAAACCTGTTTAATAGTAATCGATTTTCACTAAACTGCATGAGCGTTTTGTGTTTCACAGATCTGATATGCTTAATTTTCTTACTCTTTACATTTAAGTACATTTTAAGGCTTATTAGGCCTATCTAAGGGCTTATTATGCCCTAAAACGTAAAAAAATAACACTAACTCTCAATCTGTTACTGTATACTCAGGCATGTAAAGAAACATAATTACTTTTGAGTACATCTTTCAGAGTTACCGTCTTTTCAGAGAAAAAAGGACTTAAATTCCATTGACCCGAAGGTTATCCAAAGAGAATCATGAAAAGTATGCGATCTTTATTTTCCATCATCCATAATATTTCTGACAGAAGTAAATATAACTGATTTAAGCCGTAGTACTTATCATTGATGCCCAATATTTAAGGCCAAAGATAGAGTATCTTCTTACCCTACTTACTAATGCCCATGGGAGTCATTTAAGCTTTGGTATGATTCATGATTATTTACAAACCTTCAATATTTCCCCAATGACGAGCGTTGGCGACTGCTAAGGCCGGAAGCGATGGTCACTTTGTAATGGAGGCACGTAACATTTGAACGATCATTGGCTCCTCTGAAGGGACACGCAATTTACATCCATGCCTTCTCCGAGATTCGAAACCGGATCCTTCAGTATAGCAGTCAGATTCGCTAACCACGTTCCCATCTAAGCGGTATAAACTGTCATATTAATTCCCGATTATTAATGATAACGCATCAATGTAAGAAAAAGCATTCTGTAATAAATTTTGTTTAAAATTTGATTTTTACATATAATCTTTGCAAGAGATTAATTAATATTGCTTTTAGAAGGCTCAAAAGCTATCTAAGGAAAATATTATTCCATATGCATCATTTACAGTTAGTTAAAATAAATAATCATTGATAAGCTTACTCTAAAAATATAAATATTATACGAAAATTAATTTAAGTGAAATAACTTTATCATGTACTCTTATTATAAATTTTTTGAGATATTCATAAAAGTACGTTTCTACATATAACTCTTTATCATAAACAAGGAGTTAATCTTAAAATTGTTCAAATTAATCTGAGTGCAGTTTTTACTTTCTAAAGATACCTTGCATTCTAAGCATGTAGAAAATAATGTAAGTTCAAAAAGTGAAATTACTGAATTACTTCAGCACCAATAATTTTTTTTCTGATGTTGAATATTAGCTTCGAAATTTGTTCTCCCTATGAAAATTCAGAAGCTGAAATTTATAAATTACTAAATACTGAACTTTTCTAAAACCCATAAAATGTTTCGACCAGTAAGTTAATTTATTAGAGCAAAGAAATAAGAAGTCCTTTTGTTTATATGTTTACTTTTGATGATTTAGATATTTAAAACGTGTTTATCCTTTATTCTGCTGGCTACAATCTGTTACTTTAGAATAGGCACTTCAAGGTCATTTTGACTCTCCCGGCTTAACTTGTAGTCTGGTAATGACAGCTGCGGCAAATCATCGCACCCTCTAATTGTTTTTCCCCACTTTATTCCATTTACTCTTCGTAAAAAGTGAATGAATAAAAGCTAACCTTAAACTGCAGTCTGAAATGAAGTCGAGAAAAGGAGTGCTTTGATGACAACCATGCGATGCGTTTGGAAACGGGAAGAGGATCATAAATATCTTGACGTGTCTGTTTTAAAGTAACAGACTATAATATACGCTGTAAGACCTAACCTTCTTTGCTATCATACAGTTAGTGTGATCTTAGTGGGAAACCTGACGACTTCCAGCAGAAGCGTGAACAATACCAGCACAGAAGAAGGGTTAAAAAAAACACTTAATTATCATTCGTCAAACTTTTGAGAAAAGTACATGTACTTCGTGCTCACGATAACATCGACATGCGGTGGGAACTTGAGAATAATTAACAATAAATTCAAAGATAAGTTTGACATTTTATTGATTCAAAAGCATGCCTTTACACCTACACCTTTGCTGTTGAAAGTTATCTAAAAAATAACTATTCTGTTATTGCTTCCTAGCGTCCAACATTTCAAATTGGGACGCCATGGGAAAGTTCCAGATGGACGGACCATTGCGACAGACATTTCCAGGTAGAGTAATTTACCGTTTTGCTGGCATTTCCTGGCCGCCTCGCTCACTTGATCTTTCATGTGCAGACTTTTTCGTTTGGGGCCACCTGAAGCATGAATTTTTCCGAACACGTTACCACCATTCCTGAGTTGAAGGATCGCATCCGAACTGCCGTCGCCAATGTCCCAGGGAATACGTTACGCCGAGTTATGCCAAGCTTCCGACGCCGCCTAGATGAATGTGTTGTGCAGAGGGGGCATCATTTGAAAGGCATCCTATTCAAATTAACATAATCATAAAACTGAAAGTCTTATTACGTTTTCATTTGCAATTACTTACATTGTAAGTATGTGAGTATACTTTAGCTTGCACGTGAATTAAAACCATTATTTTGTGCAATAGCTTTCAAATAAGCTGATTTAGGAGGAAAAATATTTTTATATTAAGCATGCAAAAACAAAAACATCCATTATTAAAAATTTCATTTCAAATTGATCTTATATATCATTAGATTAAAATTCCCTTTATTTTCACTAAACAACAAATCGTGCATTCTCTAATATATTTTTAAGGCACAAAACTCGAGTGCCTTTCAAAATTGATTTGACATTTTATTGATTCAAAAGCATGCCTTTACACCGTAATGAAATCAGCAGGTAGGTAGGTTTATAAAGATCGCAAA